CAATCCTTTTATTTATGTGATAGGCCTGCATTTAAAATGAGCATTTACCACAAATTAAAGGTATCTTATATTATTAGATATGGTATTATAAAATATGTTTTAGTTAAGGTGTTATTGATACTTCAAGTGCAAAATAATAATATAAAACCTTGATAAAAATATACTTTTAAGTACTAATCAAAATACATGAGCTTAATCTTTGTAATCTTTTCTTTTTCTTAAGTAAGATGCGATGATTCTCTTGTTAGAGATATATCATTTGTGAAAATATAAGTGACACTTAAAATCATTTGGTTATTTATTTAGTTATAAACCAGATAGAGGTTTTAGTCATTTTCTTAAGAAAGATTGTTGAGTTAGATTTGATCATTAACCTATAAAATGATTGGTTTTGAATCATGAACCCATAACAAGATTATGATAAAATTTTGGTTCCTAAACCCGTAAAAGAATTATGTTTAAATCTTAAATTGGATAAAAGATTGTGTAATTGTTAAGATCTTTCCCTTTAAGAGTATTTTGTGAAATAATGAATACTTAAATAAAGATTTGATGAGTGGAGAAGGGCTCTCCAAACAACTATAAAAATCAATGTGTTTATCTCCCTCAATCTATCTCAATTTACTTGTGGTTTGATTAATTATTCTTGTTGTTAAATTTAAAAAGATAAAATTATTTTTGAATATTATGTGAATTTTAGCATTCTTAAAGTAATTGAGAAATTTTGTAAAAAAGTGTTAGCATTCTTAAATTCATCCCTTCTTTTAGACTTTTTTAAGTCTTTTAGATTTTCCAACAACCTTTCCGGTGGTTGAAAATTGAGTATGCAAATGATATATCGTTTGTTGTATTTTCTAAAATCAGTATTCATCCATCCTTTTTAAAATTAAAAACAAAAAAGATCAAGTCGCGCGGGCCAACTTGACAAGTTTTTAATAGAACAGGAGCAATAGGGCATCCAAACCTGCATGCCTATGCTTTTTCTAATATTTTTTATTTAGTTTAAATTTATTTTTAAAAACTTACTTTCAAATGTATTAATTATATTATTTTATTTATTTATTTTATTAATTAAGAATATCATTTATGTTTTAGATATTATTTTATTAAAAATCATTTAATTTTTAATTTGTTTTCAAATAAAATTATAGTTGTTGTTTTATAAAATTAGCAAACATTTTTTTTTATAGCCTATCTTTATCATATTTGTTTTTAAAATTTTATTTGGTTGTTTTTCTACAAATATTTGTTTTTTAGTATAATTAAACCAAGAATTGTTTCAAAAAGATGAAGTTATTAATCTAATTGGATTCATAACTTGGATCATCAGTTTTGTAATTTAGCTAAAGTTGACATCAAATAATTCAAGAAGTCATTGTCTTAATACGTTTTTAAAAAAATTATATTATTTAGAAACCTTTTTTAAGCTAGAAATCTCATATATCTAATTTTAACAAGTGGATCTATTTCCTATTTGTATTTTAATTTTCCACCTTTTTTTCCATAATTAAAATAATAATAAAAAAAAGAAAAAGAAGAAGAAAATCAACAAATTTGGTGGTATGATAACAACTTTTGTTTATCTTCAAAAGAAAATTACATGAACAACCACTCCACCAACATACTTCACTTTAAATCAAGATAGTCAATTTTATTCTATTGACATTTTATTTTTCTTATTAAAATGATAAATTTTAATTTTAGAGCATCTCAACATTCTATTTCAAGATCATATATTATGTATGTGTGTGTCTTTTAAAATGCATGATTTTATTTCGAATCTAAAAATAAATTAATTCAAATTATACAATATAATCACAATATAAAGCATCTAAAATTAATTTTAAAATTTAAAGCTTTTCTAAATAGTTGAGATTAAAAAGAATTTGAATTTAAAGTAATTTAACATTGTCTAAAGCAAGCTTTTGATATTTTATAGTATAATTGCTAAATTTCTCCCACCATGCAACTAATTAAGATAAAAATTTAATAAATTCAAATGTTATAGATACAGAAACATAATTTATATTTAAAAAATACAAGCAATAAAAATTATTACCTGAATTTAAAAAATACAAGCAATAAAAAATATAAGCAATAAAAATTTAATTTAATTTAATTTAGAATGTTGCCTTATATTTTCCAGGTAATTTTATTTCAAGCAACTCTCATCTATGGTTACCTTAAATTTATTTATTGGCTCAGTTAATCAAGGAAAGAATCATTTTATATCGTGTCCTTCAGCTAGAGAGGAAAGAGATCCTTTGGATCTCTATTTCCTTAGATAGGTTTTTAGGTATAGCCTAGATTTTTTAGTTTTTTTTATCTTACTCAATTAATAATAAAATTATACTTTAGTTTTATCGAACTTTTATCTGACTGAAACATGTCGATCAAGATTTAGTAGAAAAATTCAGAATAATCTAAAATATGAACATGGTGAAATTTATTCTAATTTTTAAAATTAACATGAGACATACCTGCTACTTCAATCAAAACTGAATGAATTTTACATCCCTTTTGTTGGAAAAATAAAAAAAGAATTATCAATATTTACGGAAAAAAAGTAGTTTCAAACGCTTTGACAAATAACTAGTGACGTGTTCTTCTGTTTATTTTTTTTTAGGAGCTCTTAGAGTGAAGGATAGCCTCTCTCTCTTGAATAAATCAAGTGACTTTGCTGATTTTGAAGTAACTTCACAAAACTTTGATGCTCTTTGGACTATTCTACAATGACATGTCAGTGCATATGGGTAGGGGTAACAAGAACCAAAAAAATGAAAGTATAATCACCAAAAATCACAGCAATGTTTTGTGAGACGTTACGGCAGGATCAGAGGCTGTCTAACCATCCGGGTGGCCCCAAATGACAACGAAACTTGATAGGGGTCCAATTTTACTACCCACAGAGGAGGAGAAAAGTTAAAAACATGAGCAGAGTATGAAATATAACCTGACACATCATTTTTATTAGAGGTTGAATCAATCATTAAAAAAAAAAAACTACAAATTAAAATATATTCTGAAAAAATAAAATTTTCATTGAAAAAAATAATCAAACTTTCATAAAAATTCTTATAAAATTAAGAATGAAATTGTTAACCTGGATATGCGAGATCATTAATTAGTAACTACACCCAATCTTAAAAAAAATTCAATTGTTTGTAATGTTTTCTTTCTTTCTTTTTTTTTTTTCTGAATGGAATATTTATAGAATTCCCATAAAGGATGAAACTTTATTTCATGGTATATACCTGTTTCTTATTCTTATACAAGTCTTCCAAAGAGTTTAATTGATCCATGATTTATATTTCACCTTTTCGGTTGTTTTGCAAAATATAGTGATTAATTTAGATTCTTTCTTTTTCTATTGATTCTTTTGGTTGTTAAATTACTATGACTTTATCCATATAACATCTAAACATTGATGTCATCCCTATCAACATGGTACGGGTTCAAATCCCCGGCAAAATACATGAAATGGAGAACTGTTGTGAAGACTGAGTGCATCACTCCAAAACTGCTTGGCATATTTAGACTCAACATTTAGCTTAATAATAAACACAACAAAATCTTGATTCTCACAAGTTTTGATACTTGCTAGAGAGAAAGCTTAGTGAAAACAGAAGACCAGAGCCATGAAAATTGGAGAGCACAAACATAAATCCCACTCTCAAAATATTAGCTTACGGGGAAGGAGGTAATAAAATAGAACACGGCATCAACTAGGGCCAAGAATCCTAGCAGGGGAGGAGGATCCTTCAATGCATCTTGAACTAACATTCATAACACCAACTTATTAGATTGAGGGCCTAACCCCCCTCAATTCAAGCTCATTTGCCAGTAAAAGCCCTAGACATCATGTATAATCAAAAAAATAATTATCAAAGAACCATCTTATCTAAAAAGTTAAGTTATTAGATAAGATTCCAAGATATAATTTCTATTATTCTCTAATACACCCCCTCAAGTAAAAGCCTTTGGGCTTAAAACTCGTACAGACCCATATTATCTTATGTTTAATTTTTATCGAATAAATGGAGATGATCTAACTCATGACCGCTTAATCATCAAGACTCTAATACTATATCAAAAAATCATCTCATCTAAAAGCTTAAACTATTAAATAAGATTCTAGAATATATAGCTTACGGGGAAGGAGGTAATAAAATAGAACACGGCATCAACTAGGGCCAAGAATCCTAGCAGGGGAGGAGGATCCTTCAATGCATCTTGAACTAACATTCATAACACCAACTTATTAGATTGAGGGCCTAACCCCCCCTGTCACCAGTTTCATTTAACCATATCTCTTACAAACACAAGGTCAAACGCTTTAGAATTCAAGCTCATTTGCCAGTAAAAGCCCTACTTAACATCATGCCAGAACATAATAATCAAAAAAATAATTATCAAAAAACCATCTCATCTAAAAGGTTAAGTTATTAGATAAGGTTCCAAGATATAATTTCTATTATTCTCTAACATACCCCCTCAAATAAAAATCTTTGGGCTTAAAACTTGCACAGACCCATATTACCTTATATTTAATTTTTATCGAATAAATAGGAATAATCGAACTCGTGACCGCTTGATCATCAAGACTCTAATACCATATCAAAAAATCATCTCATTTAAAAGTTTAAACTATTAAATAAGATTCTAGAATATAATTTATATTATTCTTTAACAATAATTACCTTTACCTTTCGAGATTAGCGTTGACTCATCTTACCAGGCTCATCTTACCAGTTCTTGCCTTGATTAGGGCATGAGGCACCTTCAAAATCTTCTTCTGTGTCCAAGCACAGCTACTGAAAATGGAAGCATGACAGAAATCCAACCTCCATGGAGTTATCCACGCAAGTTCTCTGCAAGGCAAGTTTGTGCACATGATGAGATTACAATTCGTAGCTCCGCTAGATGGCCTGGATTTTAGCTCTCTCTGGAGCATGGCCAACGGGGAGTGAAAGGAGATGCGTACGTGGAAACACGACATCAAATTGAAAATTGAGAAATTATGTCTCCTTGAAGAGAATGAATAGAACTTTTGTACAATGTCCTACGTATTTTCCTCATTTACTTTTCCTATTATCCAATTAACTTTTCAACCAGAAACTATGCTGTTCTACAAGGGATTATTACATCCAATCATGAATTTGATTTTTACAAATAAAAAGAGGAATTGTAACTTTAACAGTTATCTTTGTAGTAGTGCTACATGCTCATTGCTCTTGATGAAACCTCTGATTCAGCGTCCTGCAACTCCCCATCAGCTGCCTCAACAGAGTCCTATAACATAAATAAGAAATGCTCAATTAGTAATCTTTTACAGTACAAAAACACATGTCAACCAGAATAATCCCAAATAATATAGATTAAAAACTATGCAATAATTTGTCTGATAAAGTCCATTGTTCAACAGGCAAAATAATATACAAAAGAAAACCAAGGATGCTGGTGATTAAATGTAAGAAGGGTGGTTAGAAGTGACTTTCAACCAACAGATTCTACTCAGCCAGTTCCTGTCACAATAATTATTTATTAAATAACACAAAATAGTTCAGACAAAAGCATACCAATGGTCGCAGACTAATCTATAAATTGAAACCATACCACTAAATTCTATACCTTATATTCCGCTAGGTAATGCTCCAATGCACCATCTCCACGCAGGATTTTCCCACCACTTCCAGGAGCATGCACTGAACCTACAGACTCCTCATCAATTACAACAGCATCTACTCTATCACTTCCTGTTTTGATGTCTGGGATCTGAAGCAAATAAGCAACAAAACCTTTAACATGTCAATATCCATAATCAAATGCTTTATAGAGATGGTGGATAATATCTACTTATAAGCCTTGGGGAATCACATACCTCATACATGGCTTCAGTTAGAATGCTTTCAAGTATGGCTCTTAAACCCCTGGCACCAGTATTCTTAGCCATTGCCTTTTTCGCAATTAGTCTTAGTGCCTTTTCAGTAAAATTTAGCTTCACCTGGAATTATGCAAGTGGTAAATAACCATTACACAAAAGTAATCAAATGAATTTAACTACTAAATGATCAGAGAGAGAGAGAGAGTCGTACATTATTCATGCTAAACAACTTCTTATACTGTTTACCAAGGGCATTTCTCGGTTCCATGAGGACCTGTAATTTACGTGAGCAAGAAAATGTTTTATAATGAAAACTAAAATTTCAAATCTGGCCTGCTCATTTCTAGGAGAAACTAAGAATATAAAGTGCATTAAACAAAATACATGATAAGCACAGATTGAGATGTGCATTTGGAAGGGCAGGGGTGTTCTAATGTTTCCATTTTAATCAAACCAAAATGGGTGGTGAAATTTTACAAGCTAAGGAAAATTTCCCAAATATTAATGTCAAGTCAGTAATTTCCTAGCTACAGAAATATATACTGGTATCTTAGAAACGACACTCTTGAACTTCTTAGGGCAATGATGAAAACCTGAGTGAAAAAAACAATGAGGCTTACTAGCACAAAATAAATTAGCATACTTGAGTGAGCTGAAAGAAATTTCTTTTCTTTTCTTTTCAGTAAACTAGTAGTGAATAATTAGAGTTTGAATGTAACATGTTTGTAACATCATAAATTGCTACATTCAGTTGCCAATTATTCTCTCACATTCTGAATGGTTTCTAGTCATTCACAAACAGCCCAAAATGGGATGATAACAAATATAGACTGGCACAGGGTGTATTAAAATAGAAAATAAAAACACAAAAATACCAGTATAACAGAGTATTACCCTAACAAGTTGATCCTCAGTTAGAGCTGCCAAACTAACTAATATTGGAAAGCGTCCAATAAACTCCGGTATAAGGCCATAAGCAATAAGATCCGCACTCTCAACCTGACAAAGTAAAATTTACTTTTCAAGTTTTAAGGAAAGGTTTCACCAGTAACTTCCATGCTTAACAACTAACATCATTAATAATGTTGAAAACTGAAATAATACATAGAAAGGTAGAAACTCTATAAATATTAAACTCCCATTTCACTAACATAGGAAGGTCTTCATTCTTACGGATTCTAGCAAAGATGAAGTGATTGCAGCATTGGTTACTCCACCTGCTCTCATATTAGCACGAACAGGTGCTCCAAATCCAATTGATGAATCTTGTCGTCTGATAAAATGACATGAAATATTTTCAGATTAGATACCCCGAAACAGACAAAAACTATATTTTGCAGATAATTATGCAGGAAAACTGTTTGAAGCCATTACCTCTCTGAAATGGTCTTTTCAAGATCAACAAATGCTCCACCACATATAAAGAGGATATTTTTTGTATCTATCTGCAGAACATTTATATGAATTTAAGATTTAATTTGAGAAGCAGCACCAATACATAAATAGTGCCAATTCTCTGATTATGATGATGGTGAATAATCCTTGCGAGGCAACATCATTGCTGGTTATTATTAATTTTCTGAATATGAATTAATAGGATGCTGCAAATACATAAGAGTTCTGAACCAAAAATCTAAGCAAACATTTAATATCTTTTCAACTTGGGAGGAAAGAATATAAAGGAATTATTCATGATCTCAATGAAAGGAATGCATAAATAAAATGAGGCTATGTTAGAAATCTGGAGTATGATAATGCTTAATCTGGTTCCAGCAAAATAAAAGTTATCAGCAATACAAGAATAAGAAGATTCTAGGATGAGCATTTCTCAAGCAGTAGACTTTACCTCATACAGGACACATTGCATATGACAAAAAAATTCATCGACAAAAAAGAAAAGGAAAACCATTTTGAGACTATATACCTGTATGTTATCACCCCGAGGATGCTTCCTCGCCCCCTTCTCAGGAACATTTACTATCTGGAAACAGAAAGTTCTGCTTTAGCAATTTTATAACAAGTTTCATATTCTTTAATATCTCTGGGGATAAAAATCCAACCACTATAGATTTTCATGTAAACCTCTGCAGCAAACTGTTCACAAAGTGCTGCCGCAACGGTAACTAACATTTCACAACAACAAAAATATGGTGCAGGAAAACAATAATGAAAAAAATGCAACATGCAAAGCCTATATGGCAACCTGTGTTTCACAAAAACTCATCAGTGAACTCAAACTTGTACCTGCAGTTTGCAGATAACCATTACAAGGAAAACACTGTTAAATGTGGCAACTGAATCCTTGTCTATTGTCACCTAAATTAAGTTTTATGGGCAAGACTTACAGTGTAAAATGCAGATGAAAAATTCTTCTTAGTCAACTAACAAAAGTTACAACCATAGGACTTGCCATGTGCTAGAATATTATAGAATTGCATGTCAGTAGCATAGCAACCTGTAAATGCCTGAATACCAGTCAAAATATTAGAATTCATTTCTTTTTCAGGGGTACCAACTGCTCAATATAATGTAATCAGAGGGTTGCAAAGCGTAAAAGATTTAGTTAGCAGAAAGCAAAATCGTGCAATGCTGTTTTATTTTTATTTTTTCACATCCAGAATAATATTAATCATCTTTCTTAGCTTCGAAACAGAAGTGGAATATGATAAGCAAGAAGTTATACTGCCATGTCAAAGAAACCATGATACGTTTTGATCACCAAAGTGATTTCGATAAAAATAATAATTTAAATTGTAAACCAATGAAAGCTTTAAGTTGTTGACACACAATTATATATAATATGATACTTGGTTCGGCTAGCTTGTGCCCTTAGGGCACATGATAAAGCGTTGTATTCTACTTTCATGGCCATTAGAGAATAGGTGATGGCATGAGGGATCTTTTAAATTTTTTTAATATAAATAGATACCTAAGAACACATTATACTTTTCCTTGTTATCATCGAGTCTAAAAATATAAGTTCAAGGGAAAAAACATAACTCCCCATTACCCACTAACTTTGGTCCCAACATTCTAATTTTAGTCATAATTCTACATGATTCTATAACTATCCCTTATTTAAATTTAGCATTATGTCTTTCTTTTTTCAATTAGTTAAGAAAAAACTACTCTTAATATAATTTAAAACCTGGATTACAATACACACCACTTTGTTCTGACGCGTGGCACCTTTATAACACAACTTCAAAAAAATGAGTACACATCAAGCATCACACCTTGTTAAGCCTTTCCTTTTAAAATTATTAAGGAAGATGACAATTGGCATAAAGAGAGATGATGAATAATAGAGTTTAAGGCCATTGATTTTCTATGAAAAAAACAAAATGAAGGATATGGATTTTTTAAATTTTGGGAAAGGATAAAAAATAAAAAAATAAATAAATAACCTAACTGAAATTAATTGTATTCTGGTTAGTTATAGTAAATTAAAACAGATTATATTCTGATTAGCTATAGTTAGATATGATTTACAATGCAATTGAGTAGGTTAAACTTTCAAAGAGCTGTTCCGTTCTAAAAATCAAGTAATCCATTGAACAAAGAAAAATGAACAAAGCAATGGAGGCCTTTTGACCATTGTTAGAATCAAACTATCATCTCTTGAATTTGAAGAGTTGATATCAAATCTATCATGGATAAGTTTATTACATTGAATTTAGTGCCAATACAATGAGATTTGTTGGGTGGCCATAAAAGGCCCCTGCACTTCAATTAAAGTTAAGATCAAAACTAGAATATAAGAGCCACATTCATGAAACAATGTTTGACCAGAGGGAGTATCATTCATATTTAGAATAGGAAAAACCTAAAAAACCTGTTTACTTGTAGAACTAATAAAATACTAATAGAAATAAACCTTAACTCGAATAATTTCCAAGATATCTGAATTACAGAATTACCCTTGTCTACAAAAACCACATAGAAATACAGTAATTCTGCTTCTTGTATTGTCTGCATCAACATCATTATTTCGCTAGAATCTCATCTAGAACTTGTCTAAATAAGATTTTTAGTTAACTAGTAGTGTAGGATTTGGGGGTTGTACCAGGGCAGTTTGAAATTTTCGTTTTCATAGAGGTAATTTTGTCATTTTGCAAAATCCAGTCAGCTACTTCACCACTTCACTATTAAGAAGTTAAATGGCCAGCTAACAATAGCTATGCTGCACCTCCTCAAACACCTCCACAAGTCACATCCTTATTGGCTTATCCATTTATAGAACTCATAATCCCAATTTTAAAGGAAGGAATATATATATGTTATAGAAATTTCAGCAAACTTTGATAGACGTGTGATGCCTAAGAATACCTAGGAGTGATTTCTAGGATCCCTGGTGTGATTCTAGGTTTCTTTTCCTTTTACCTATCGAGTTCTCCTGAAGATCTTTAGTTCTTGATTTGTTTACTTCCTGAATAGCATAATTATCCTTAAAAAAATCTACCTAAACTACAAAACAACTCTTTAGTTACACCCAAAACCATCTATAACTTCTGTAAACCTCAGTGTTTAGGAGCAGAATATTAAGATTCTGCATCATCTTGACATCAGAAAAGCAGAACTTCCTCATAATTAAAAAAAGTAGCACAGTATCATCATAATTACCACAAAATTCCATACCCAAATTCAAGTTTTGAAGTTACAGCTCAGCAGTGGTTTCCAAGCAAACTGGGTTACTAAACCAACTTTCAAAGTTCAATCCCTTATTGTCAGAAAGTTAACAGCAATTCAACTTCAAATTCTCCCTGAAGCTTTCTGAAAGATCATAAATTATCAACCAACTTTTTGTTTGATCCCCTTCTGTCCAAAAAGTGAATAAATTACTTCATTCTCCTAAAAGAGCTGAACTTGCAGTTCAAGCATTCGAATAATAAAAAATGGAATTCATCCCTATAATGAAAAATGTCTTCCCATTAAATGTCCACCTATGGACTCCATCGAAGGTCTCTTTTATCTTACACCTTCTCCAATTCACTCTTTCAAATTAACTATGTTGTTAAAGGTATCTGCAAACGAGTACTCCTGTTCACCAGTCCACTAGCCTCTATGAAGAGGTTACCTTTGACTCTTTCAAAACTTTATGACATTTAATTTCAGATTCATCAAATTGCAATATATCACCTCTGACCTATGTGATATATCCAGCATACCTTTTACTCTTTCAAAACTTTGTGACATTTAACTTAAGATTCATTACATTGCAATATGTCACCTCTGACTTATATGATATATCCAGCATGATATCTTAAATTATAATCAGCATAATTGCTAAGGAATCCAAATATATTTATAGAAACAGCAACTAAATGAAGCCAGAATAAAATAAGAATATCATATGGGACAAGTACAATTTCACACAAATCATTCAGTAAAATTTCTGAAATCAGCCTCGCAGAGGTGAAACAGGAGCAAGACATCTAGTAAACAAATGATAAGCAGTATAGTTTCATGCACTCACAGTTCCTTCCAGCATTTTCAATAATGCCTGTTGGACACCCTCACCAGAAACATCCCTGCTTATATTTAAGCTCTCAGCCTGCAAAATTGTCACAACATTTAAGTCTTAAGAGATTGTGTGCATCGAATGTTACAAAAACTAATTGGTAAGATGGAAAATTAACAGGACCTTCTTTGTTATCTTATCAACTTCATCAATGTAGACCATTCCTTGTTGAGCTGCTTGCACATTAAATTCAGCTGCCTAAAGTCAAGAAGGAACTCTATGTAAGTTCTGTAATATGTGAAAAGTCAATGGGTTTTCCATTCTTATTATATTCAGCTAATAAGTTGTGAGAGCATGTGAAGCAAGCATGAACAGAAACTATACTGATCAAACTTTTAAATAAATAAATAAAAACACCTGCTTAACAGAGAATAGTTTGCTACAACAGGACACTTCAGCATAATTAAATGTTAGTTCCAGGCAAACCCTGTTTGGGATAAACATCCATCAGATATATAGTCAGTACACAATTCAAATGCTTGATAATGAATTGCAGCCAACATTCCAGTAAAAGGAATTTCATCCCATAAAGATGGTTAGATGTTGAATAATGATAAATAAAAGTAGTGTTCATCAATAGAGGAAAGCATGTTAGGTCTTTGAATCAGCACACATTAGACTTCTTTGAATTCATGCACGAAAGAAAAAGTTTGGGATGTAGATGAATGAACACATGAAATACCCAAAAAAATTATTAGAGACAACTGAAAGGGCTATTCCTCTCATAAATAAGCACATGAACTGAAGCACACAACTATGTGTACTTCAAAGGGACAGATCATAGCTCTGATTGCACTTTATACAAACGTAGTTTGATGGGAAAAATATCAACTTCAGTAGATTTCAATGCTTCCATAAAAAGTTCAATTTCTGGAAGAAAGAATATTTAAACAAAATATAAACAATAGTCAAAACTTGGATGACTTGTATGTAATTTCTGGAAGAAAGAATATTTAAACAAAATATAAACAATAGTCAAAACTTGGATGACTTGTATGTACATTTGCATAAACAATAGTTGAAACTTTTATCGAAGGTAACAATCAAACAAACTGGAAGTGTGATTAATTCAGGAAGAGCTGCAAAATTCTGGAACATGATTACTGGATGGAAACCAGTCAATCCCCACCCAAAAACAATTCTGGAACAGGATTATGCTAGTGTTAGCTGAACAAGTCTACCCAAACCCATCGAGAATGAGTTTTTGAGCATTAAATGCAACCCCAGCCTACAGTAGGAAAAATGAAGAGAAAACATAATTTCAAACAAACATTAATTGAGTTAAAATTTCTCAGACAACTAACAAATTCAAGAATGTTTAGCAATAAAATTAGTTCAATATTTTGTCTCCCATTATGTCCTTTCAGTAGAAACATAACTGGTCCTGTATGAATCAGCATTGCAATCACTCCCCCCCCCCCCCCCCCTTTATTTATCACAATATTTCAAGTATTCAAGGCCCCAGCAATTAAGACAATCGAACCTAAAAAGTTCAGATACTACCACCAAAAATATCCAATTTTGTCTTAACAAGCTGCTGTGACTGCCTTGATGACTCTTATTCATCAGAGTTTTATTGTTTTAAAAAAAATAGGAAAAACATAACTAGCATATTTTCATAGGCCAGGATAACCTTGGTTAAAACCTAGAGTGTTAATTCCTACAACACCAATGCATCCATGGTTGTTTAACATCAAAATCTATAATTACCAAATATTCTTTTTCTAGCAAGTTCTTTGATGAATTCCACTGCTGCTTCCTAAGTGAGATCATTTCCTTTGCCTCATAAAGGCATTTATTTTGAAGAACAGTAATTATCATTTGTGATTAGTCTACATTTATTTTGAAGAACAGTAATTATCATTGGCAACCTCCTTCCTCCGTCAAGAAAATACATGTATCTTATATAGCAAAGACACAATTAGACAAATTCACTTAAATCAGGACTGGTGAAACTGAACCTATACAAAAAGGCACCAAGTGCATAGACAATGCAACTCCAAGTCTAAGAAACAACAACTAGAATTTACATAAGTTCAAAAGATAAAAGGTGAGATATACCGAGAGTAATTTATACAATATTGATTCAACATCTTCACCAACGTAACCAGCCTGCAAAAATTAGTTGCCTCATTCAGTTAAACAGTAAGGAGCCTGCGAATAGGTATGGAGAGAGAAAGATCAAAAATCATGTGACCATGGAAAAATACATAGCGAGACAAAAGAAACTAAAATGCGACCTAGCAGTTTTACTTTGAACAGTTGGATATAAGCATACATTACTACTCTAGGACTTCCTTCACTTTTGTGGATAAAATAAGATATGAGAGAAACAAATGAGTTCCATCAATGAGGGTGCCAATTTTCCCTTTTCAATAAATCATGATTAGATTTAATGAAAGACATCAAATATGCAGGCATGTTGAAAACAAAGAAATCATTCGATTATTCAAGATTGCCTAAATGTCAAAGTTCAAATTTTGATGTGAATGTCCACTACTAATTGTGAAATAAAAACAACCATAAGGTATTTCTAGTCTTTGAAGTAAGATATCAATACAAAGCAGACTTGCCTGGGTTAGTGTTGTTGCATCAGCAATCACAAATGGCACATTCACAAAGCGTGCTAGTGTTTTTGCCAACAATGTCTTCCCTATTTCACATATAAGTTAGAACAGAAGTCCAGAATTCAGAAGCTTGAAAGCAGGACTAACAAAATAACAATGTGGTAAGCACTGATTTTCACAGCAAGTCACGGGGACTTGAAACACATAGAGAAAGTGTAGAGTCATTACCTGAGCCAGTTGGGCCCATCAAGAGTACATTGCTTTTTTCCAGTTCCACATTGTCTTCATCATCTATAGCCTCCAAAGTTCCTGATTCTGCTCCTGGCCTAGTATTAGAATACATCACTTCAGTATTCTTTCACAAGTCAACTAATTGTGATAATTTGAGACCACTTTTTTAAACCACTTAAAAATATACTAAACTTTGCTATTCAAGGTAATGAAATAAAGCACCAATCATTATAAATTCTATGGTTCAATTATTTCAATAGCAGCATTATGAGAAGACAAGAATGTAACTGGAAACTAACCCTTTCCGCAAGGAGGAATGATAAATCCTCTTATAATGGTTGTAGACAGCCACAGAAAGTACCTATAACATAAACATGAATCACTTGTTGAGTACTCTCAAAAGACTACAAACTGCTCAAGGCTATGTCAAGCATGAATCCAAAATCAAGCTTTCAGGAAACTGACAGTGTAGCCTGTTAAATAAATGATGTTCTATCACTCAGTTCCCCCAACCAGAAACATTTGATATCTTCAACATGCTATATTCAATTTACCAGCACTTCGGTTATGTTGGTTCAAACAACTGATACAACAAGCATCTTAACAAAGTCATGTCAACAATATCCCAGAAAACAAACAACTATGACACGTTCATCAAAAACAATCCAAGATGAAAAGAAAGAATAAAGGGATGATGATTCACTTGACAAGACAATTTGAAAAGGGTTTCTAAATACAATGCAACAAAAACTCTAACAGGACAGCCTTCATAAGTACCCAAATACCAGTGTGAAATCTTTGACACACAATGATAATCCATAATCAACATGCATCTGTTAATAATTCAAAAAACTTATAAGCATCAAAACTCAGAAACTGATTGCAACCGAATACCAACTAGCTAGATCAAAAACCCAAATGAGAACGAAATGTTGTTAAAAAAAGCAAACCTTTTTTGCTCTGTCCTGTCCAATAACAAACTTATCAAGACCTTTGCAAATCTCCTTTGGCGTCGGCAATTCCTTCCCCAAATTTGACCCACCCCATCCAGCACCATTCTTCTCACCACCTCCATTCCCACCACCACCTCCACTCTTTTCTCCACCTGGCTTAAAAGCCCTAACGACGCTAACCCCCGGAGTAAACGGCGGACCAGGAGGCGTATGCACAGCCAACCCATTCCCACCCGGGGGTGGCGGAGGAGGAATCCCCTGAGGCCAATTCTCAGGCGGATCCCCTCCATACGACCTCAACGTCTCCCAAAACGATACCCTTAACCTATTATTAATAGTATTTGTAACATTGGCATAATCCACTCCCTCTTCACCACCATTACTCCCTTCCTTACCTCCCTTATTCCCATTTCTTCCATTCCCCTTATTACTAATCCTACCAATCTCAACAAAACTGCCTTGTAACGGCGCAATCTTATCCGGCCTAAAATAATAGGCTGTCTTACAATTAGGACAGAAATTCACAGCCTGATAATTATTATTATGCCCATTTCCATTAGCGCCAGTATCAGCAGTTGTAGTATTATTAGTATTATTATTAGCAGTATCATTATTGCGACTCAAATGAGGATGATGATGATGATCAAGATTAGAATTATTACTAAATACGAAACTCCGATTGGAGAAGAGCACATCCATGTGTTTTGAGCACCTCGGACAATTCGCTTCTGCCCTAATTTTCCGAACATTGTTGTCGTCCTTAGAATTCTCCCACTTGTAGCGCTCTTGGATTCCGATCAATGATTCCTTCCGGCGGTTACACCCGATGTTTAAGTAGTTCAAGTGGGTGGAGATTCCTCTTGAGAAACGGACCGGGGTTGCGAAACGGGAAGAGAGTAACAGAGGATTCGTTGCATCCTTGAGTTTCCTGCATCTCCGCAACATTCTAGTTCCAGACATAAAGAGAAAAAAAGTGTGGTTTTCGGAGGAGAGGATGAAAGAGAGAGGACGGGGGTTGTTCAAAGATAATATTTATTTATTTATTTTATAAGCTGTACAAACACAGAGAGAAAGGAGGGGCAATTGTGAGGAAGAGAAAAGACAAAGAAGAGAGCGTATGTAGGAGGAATTATGGAAAGAAAATGGCTTTCTTATCCTCTACGACCCCTACCCACTTATGAGATTGGGAGTTATAATTTCTTCCCTTTTTTTGATTGACTCTATCTTCTTCTTCACGTACGTCTTCAGTCTCTCTCTGCTTTGTGCTTTGGGTGCCTGATGTCAGGATCCAATGCCACGCCTTCTTTGTATTGTCTTAATTACTTAGTGGGAATTATTTACTTTAATGTTGAGAAATGAATTACAGAAAATGAGTTCAATTGATCCATGCTATCATTACTCACTATTAAATAAGCACTCGAAAGTTTTTCGCCGTCAATCTGGTTTTTAGATTTAACGACTAGAGCAAGCGTTCACATTAGTTTTTTTGTTTTAGCGTAAGCAAATGTTTAGTTGTTGCTAAAGTATTTTTTAATTTAAAAAAATTAGATGGATTCGCTATTTAAGTTAAAAGATAATTTAAATAATTATTAAAAAATAATTTGATTAAAAAATTTTCATAACATCATTTAAAAAAAATTAAAATAGAAATATATTAGATCATTCTACGTTAACTTGAGTTAATTTATCAAATTCGACACTTAAATCATGAGATTATGATAACTTTATAAAATAAAATCAAAACAAATTATAAAATTCAATTCTCAAATAATTAAATATTAAAAGATAAAATCAAAAAGAAAATTTAAATACAAAAAAAAGGACCAAGAAACAAGCAACTCGAGTCAACTTAAGTTAATATATCAAACCCACAACCCAAGTTATATGATTGGGATAATATTATAAAAAGCAAATCAAAATAAATTATGAAATTCAATTCACAATCAACTTAATATTGTTAGATGAAATTGAAAAAAAATAATTAAAAAAACATAAAACAACTCGAGTCAACTCGCCAAGCCTGTGTAATCTAGATAACGAAATCAAGATAACCTCATAAAAAAGTTATGATATTTTAAATTAACAAAATATAGAATGATGAAATTAAAGAAAAAGATCTAACACAAAAAAAAGGAAAAAAATGAGTTTAACCTCAAACTAGCATCTCAAATCATAATGTCAAGAAAAAAATTAATGTTAAAAAATAAAATTAAAAAATATATTAAACTTGTTTAATACAATGCTTTGTGAGGAGAGAAATAATAGATTCCTCCTCTTTAATTTGTTTATATTAATTAATTAATTTTTAATTGTTTAATTATCACAAAGCTAAAGATGTCCATACATCAATTAAAAAAAATAGTAAACCATAAAAAAATTCAAAATAAAAGAAAATAGATAAGTTATTTATCATAGTTTTAACTAGGTATTGTAACTTATTTTTGAATCCCCGCAAAAAGAATAAAAATAAAAATAAAAATAAAAAATAATAGTAAAAAAAGGATGCTAGAATAGTCAGAAAATAGTCAAAAATTGGTTGAGAAGGTTTAAGATTACAAAGATTAAAATTTGGCAGTATTTTGTTGACTGATGAGAGTCCTGTTGACAAACAAAATTTAATTTGAAGAAGAAAAGTCCAAAATAAGATGTGTATGGATACAATTACATTTTATCGAAGATTTAATTAAATTTATGGAGGTTATGTCATTCAGTTTAAAGAATGCAAGGGCCACTTATCAAAGAGCCATGGTAACTCTATTTCATGATGTGATGCATAAGGAAATTGAGGTGTATGTAGATGATATAATTGCAAAGTCGAAAGGAGAAGATCATGTCAAGGTGTTGAGAAAGTTATTTGAGAGATTGAGAAAGTATGAACTAAGGCTCAATCCTGCAAAATGTTCGTTTGGGGTTAAATCCGGTAAGCTGTTAGGATTTGTAGTCAATAGCAAAGGTATAGAGGTGGATCCTAACAAAGCAAAAGTCATCCAATCCATGTCAATCCCAAAGTTAGAGAAAGAGGAGAAGGGATTTTTGGGGAGGTTAAACTATATTGCCAGATTTATAGCTCAACTAACTACCACATGTGAACCTATCTTCTGACTGCTCAAGAAAAAGAATCTGGGAACTTGGAATGAGGAGTGTGAGGAGGCATTCAATAAAATCAAGTGTTATATGCAAAGTCCGCCATTACTTATTCCTCCTATGTCGGGAAGGCCTTTAATTTTGTATATGATGGTAACGGAGACAGCTATGGGATGTGTACTGGGGCAACATGATGAAATAAGCAGGAAAGAAAGGGCTATCTATTACCTAAGTAAGAAGTTCACTGAATGTGAGTCTAGATACATAGTAATAAAGAAACTATGTTGTGTATTGGGATGAGCGGCAAAAAGATTACAACATTATATATTATATCACACCATTTGGTTGATTTTAAAAGTAGATCCATTGAGATATATATGTAACAAGCCCTATCTCTCCAGTCAAAATGCAAGGTGACAGGTTTTGTTGTCAGAGTATAACATAACATACATGACATAGAAAGCTGTAAAAGGGAGCGTGATTGTTGACCATTTAGCTGATAATGTTGTTGAGGATTAGGAACCACTGAATTTTGATTTTCCGGATGAAAATTTATTAGCAATAGAGGAAGGAAAAAAAAAGACAGATTGGTGGACTATGTTTTTTGACGAAGCAGTGAATGTATATGGTAACGGGGTCAGCACAGTGATAATCTCTCCTGATCATAAGCTATATCCAGTTTTAGTTAAATTGTATTTTGAATGCACCAATAATACAGCTGAATATAAAGCTTGTATACTCAGTTTAGAAGCTGCATTAGAGATGAAGATTAAAAAGCTGGATGTATATGGTGATTCAATGTTGATTATCTGTCAAGTGAAAGGAAAATGGCAAACCAAGGAAGATAAGTTAAGGTCTTACCAGGAATACTTGTCCACACTATTAGACAACTTCAAAGAAATAAAGTTCACTCATATGGGAAGAGAAGGGAGCCATTTTGCAGATGCTTTAGCTACATTGGCTACTATGGTGATTGATACTTAAAAGTGTATTTTTATCATGGTTTGTTATCATCATTTTGCACTTGAAGTATCAATAACTCCTTAACTAGAGCATGTTTTATAATAATATATCTAATAATATAAGATACCTTTAATCTGTGGTAAATGTTCATTTTAAATGTAGGTCTATCACATAAATAAAAGGATTGATTGATGAATTTAAGAACTGAAATTGAAAGGATAAAGAGATGGCTAAACTTAGAAAAGAGATGTCGGTGCAATCCAAACCGGAACACTTTTCGGTAATTAGGTCATATCTGGAGCTATAGATCTCAGATTTAGGTCTACTTTATATGGATGGAAAGGTAAGACATAGACCTACAACTTTTATATGGAGCCCAAGATCTAAAAAGGCCATTTTCAAGTCCAAATTATTGCAACAACAAAGAAGCCCAAATCTGTCCTCCAGCCCGAGCACTATTCCGTATTTTGGCCATATCTGGAGTTCTAGAAGTCCAAATGAGCTGAAGTTTTTACACAAGAAAACTGAGACAATTTTCTACAACTTTTATGTTTTCAAGTGGCTCCACTTTTGATGTTATTAATGACGTTTTGGGCAGACAAGAGAAGATAAGAATTGTCACCAAGTCAAGAGTTGGTCACCCACTCATCAATTAGTCATCAAATCAATAGTTCCCAATTGTGGTCTATAAAAGGAGGCATTTGCCATGCATTTAGGCATCTTGGTTTCCAGATCAAGATCATGCTCTTGCTTTCTCTCTTTGTATTTTTTGTAATGTTTATGCTTTGCTTTCATTAATATCAAGTTTATGCCTTTCATTTCCTTTCATTTACTTAATTAACTTTTATGTTATTTATGTTTTTATTTTGTTTATTTATTTTTCTTTCATTCATTATGTCTAGCTAAGTTTATTATGTCAAGGTGAAAAGGTTACACTAATGATGTAAGAATAAGTATAGTGTAAACTTAATATGGACTTTAATGTTTGATACTAACATGTTTTGTATTTGTTATCTTGTTCACTCTTTAATACTTTGCTTGTTAAATGACTAATCTTGATTTATGTTGTATAACACTCGGTACAACAAATGTTTGGCACTTTCATAGCCCATACTGTATGGTATAACCGACACCTGAGCTATGAAAGGAACTTGATTTGTTGTTAACATAAGTTATAATCATGAATGCTTGACGAAATTTACAAGTATTAGCATTAATTGAATAAGATGACTAATGTAATCATGTTAACAATTTATAATCTAATTGGAACCTCCTTTATGTGTGGTTTCCAATTGAATAATAAGAGTTTATACTATACTTGTTTGACATACCATTAGTGGATCCTCTAGCCTTGACATTTGTTATTATCATTGTTTAATCGTTACATTAATATTCCATCTCAAAGTTCTCATCATCTTCTTCTTCTCCTCCTTCTTTTTCTTTATTATTATTAGTATTATTATTATTATTACTATTATTATTATTATTATTATTATTACTATTATTATTATTATTATTATTATTACTGTTGTTGTTATTGTTGTTTTATAATTGTTGTTTATAATTTGTACAATTAACCTTATTATTGTTATTGTTATTGTTATTGTTATTGTTATTGTTATTACTATTATTATTGTTGTTGTAGTTATTATTATTGTTGTTGTATTATTGTTATTTATAATTTATATAATTAACCTCCCTATGGTTCGACCCTGGTTTTGCCGGGTTATTTATTACTTCGACACTCCTACACTTGGGAGAAGACATCAATCTTTTAGTCGTGTCATATGGTTACCATTGATCTCGGGTATAGGGTGCAGCTAGTACACATTGATATCAGAAATAACCCAACTTATTGTTACTCGATTGAAGGAGAGATAGATGGGAAGCCTTGGTATTACAATATCAAGAACTTTGTGCAAAAGCAGGAATATCTAGAGGGAGCTTTGGAGATGGATAAGAAGACCCTGAGGCAATTGGCTAGGGGTTTTTATCTAGACAGAGAGATTCTATACAAAAGATCATTCGATGGAACCTTGCTGAGGTGTTAAATGCAATAGATGCTAGAACGGCTTTGCGAGAGGTCCACGAAGGGATTGCTCAACCCATGCTAGCAGACTTATGATGGCAAGAAAAATACAAAGGGCTGGTTATTTCTGAATGACATTAGAAAAAGACTGCATCGACTATGTTAGAACATGTCACAAGTGC